TTGAGGCACCGCAGCCTCGGCAGGGTCATCCCCACTTTGTCCCAGGACCTCACAGAAATGCACAGCAAATCTGCAAACCTGTTCCTGGGGGTTGGAGATTGGGTCACCGTTCTTTCCCCTAATGATGGTAATAGGTGCGGTGCAGCAGGTTACTTTTTTGATGGAATTAAAAAACGATTTGTGATCGCGGGCCATTGAGGCAGATTCCATATCCTCAGTAACCCGCGACCACCACCCATCCCTCCAATGCCTCACGGCTCTCCGAACCTCCGAGCGAAGGCTGCGGTAAGCCTCCCCATTCTCTGACGTGGGATTCTATAGCCAATGAGAGTGGGCCAGTCGCTTTTTCCAGCCAGCTTGAACACCTCCTCTGTCAGCTAGGGTCTCTGGGGAGGTCTCGACCGTGTACCCAAAGCAGCCATTGCAGCTGCATGAGCCACAGTCCTAAACCTCGCCTACTTCTCCTCGACATCAGGAGGAGTGGGGGATGTTGCCAACCCCAGCCGCAAGCGATGATGAAATTCTCGCTTGCAGCTTTCATCAGCTAGCTGAGACCATGCCACTAAGGGTTTGAATGGGGTCCTGGGTGTACACCCACCACCAGAGTGGAAGAATGGCAGGCGCATCTTACAGATAACTAGTCGATGGTCAGAGGCCAGATCAGCTCCACGGTAGGTCCTCATGTCAAGGACATGGGCTCGCATCCGCTGGTCCGTCACTATGTAGTCCAGCAGATGTTCTTGCTTGGACCCGGCATGTATCCATGATGTTGTGTGGATGCGCCGATGCCGGAACAGCGTGTTGGTAATTACAAGCCCATGGGCTGCACAGAAATCTAGCAGCCTCCTACAGTTGTTATTGAGCTGATCTGACCCATGCCCTCCAATCACTCCAGAACAGGTGCCAGCATCATGACCAACTCGGGCATTGAAGTCACCCAACAAGATGACTCTATCCCGAGGGGCCACTTTAGCTAGCACCTGTGACAGGTCATAGAAGGCATCTTATTCATCGGCCTTGCCTGCATCCCCCCACGGTTGCTCGTCTTCGGTGGGGGCATAAGTTACCACGACCACCACTCCTCGCCTCTGGTTGATGGGAAGGCGAGCCCAAAGTAGCCTGGGGCTTACAGCTTCCTACACCTCACCGCCATGCTCCTACGCCCCTTCATTATTCTATTCCACACGCTGTTGTTTGGCAGTCTCCTGCCCCGAGTAGAGGACTGTCCACCCCTCATGGTGGCAGGAGCCAGAGCTGGTCCACAGGACCTCCTGAATACCACAGAAATCCAGGCGGTACCGGTCCAGCTCCCGACAGAGGAGTGGCAGACTCTCCTCTGCAGTGAGCGCTCGAACTTTCCACGTAGCCACACAGTGGTTTATTGTTGTTTCTGGAGGAGCACGAGGGTTTGGATTCAGTCTCCTGGCTCCGCCAAATGGGGTTTGGCCAAGAGACGTCATTGACGCCTGTGCCCCCGGGGCCTCCGGCGCAAGCTTCTTTATTAAATGCTGTCGTCGTGGTTTAGTGGTAATTAATTGAAGGTGGAGGGGTTACCAACCCCTCGCACCCATCCAGAGCCCCCATTTGGCTGCTGTGGTGGTTACAAACGCCATGAGGGGAAAGGGGGGCCAATCGGAATTGGCCCCCCTTCCCCCATAGCACTGCCCTCGACAGTGTTGCCTGTCCGGCACCACGAGGAGGTAGGGGGTTGTTTTGCCAGACTAATCACACATGGACTTACACATGCACATATCGACGTACAGACACACAGTGACTCACACACACTCATCGACTTACACACGCACATCGACTTAAACACACACATAGAGTCACACACACATAGACATACACACACACACATCGACTGACACACATTGACTGACACACATCGACCCACACACAAAGACATCGACTTACACACACAAACACATGTCGACTTACAAACGCACATGGACTCACGCAGACACACATTTCGACACACACACAATCGACTGACACACATGGACCCACACACACATCGACTAACACACACAAACACATCGACTTAAACACACACCGCACACGCACATATGGACGTACACAAACACAGCTGGACTCACACATGGACGTACACACGCACACTCTTACATAGAGTAAATAAGTTCGTAAATAATAGTTATCTATGTAGGTGACTTTCGCGAAAGAAGCAAGGGAGAGGGGAAATACACACCACGTGTATAATAAGTAATTAGGAGCGAATGCGAGGGTGTTCCGGCATTTTGGTGCAAACATTGCCGCGAGCAAGAGCGGGAAATTAATGAAAGTCAACGAATACAAAATTAACCTAACCTACCTGTAACTATGAGCAGAGGTGCACCAATCAAGCATAATTGACATAACGTCACTGCTCATCCGCCGTACAGAGGGGGCAAGTGTAAATGATAGAATGAAGATGTAATTTAGTATATTTATTGGTTTGCCCCTGTGCAGTAAGTGAAATTGCGTGGCTGCTTATGCCTCAAGAGTACAAAAAAAGGCTATTCTTCATAAACATTGATTCATCCCTGTCATGAAATGGCTTACCTATAAAAGGCAATTTGTAATGAGTAAACAGTCATGGTAATGTTTGAAGGGAGCCGTAAATCGGTGTTACCTTGCGCAATGTCCACACGAAAGATAATTCCCTTCTCACCCCCACCGAACGCGTGTGACTTGGTAGGGGCCCTCCCCCCCAACGAGCGCGTGTCAGTTGATAGGGTCGAGCACACGCTATGTAAGAAATTAATAACAGCAATAAAATTGCTAATTAAACTTGTAATTTGAAGGTGACGGACGCGAAATCGGACTAGCGCTGGCTCAGCACGCGTCTTATGGCGTGGTACCTGGCTACTTTTTTTTATACATGAACTCCACGGTTTGAGAGCCACATCCTTCGCAAGTTTCGGCCACACACAGAGAGACACATATAGACAAAAAATGCCTTTCATAGTAAGATAAAAATGGTAATTGCTATTTCGCTCTCACACGCCAAACCATTACAAAGGCGCGATAATTACAATTTTGATGCTTTTTTTAAAAGCTGTTTGTTTCTGGCCGCTTGGGCCTGTGCTCAGCAACTATTTAAAAAAAAGTTGTTCATCCATAAAAAAAAGTTGTTCATCCATTGGGCTGTCACCTTGGCATATAACTTGCATACAATGGTTAATAGGACCATTCTCACGCACAGTTTAATGGTCCAAATTTGAATACCGTCACATTACTAATTTGTTATTATACCCAGCAATCATCAGGACCCGACGGAGTCTTGAGACTCAGTGAGGCTGTCCAGGATAAGCAAGCCTAATGCAAATAATGTTGCGAGCATATACTGTAATACTCTGGTTTTATCATTTGTGACGAACGCAATATTGCCATCTTCACGTGGGGAACGCGTATTGCTATTGCTGTGCCATACACGAGGGGAGAACGAGGCTCTGTAGCAGCCACGGCAAGCGGCACTTGACTTGTACCCGTGTCAGTGTACACATGAGTAGTACACGTTAATTTGTAAGTCCTATCAGTATATAAATAACCTTCCACAGCCGACTTTTTGCAGGAAATGTATAATTTAGCAGTTTGTGCAGTGATTACGATTTTACGAGATTTTCCTTTCCATGCTTTTATTTTAGTTGTAATGTGACCCAGGTGACTTGCACATGATCTCGAACTTCTCACCTGTCTAAATACAGCACACTTGAATCGTGACAAACCACCTGCAAACGGACTGGAGTGTGGGGCTGCATGAAGCGCTTTGCTTGGTGGTGCAAGAATGGGGTTCCGTTGCCGGAGCTCTCTTCTGTTGTGAGGACAACACAGCGTGTTTACTCTACACCACGTGGCACTGCGTGAATTTACCTAAAAAGGGAATCAATGGAAAACTAAATGTGGTTCGTGTTAGGGTGACAGGCACAATGGCCTTCCAATGTTTTACTACAAGTGTGCGGTTTACTTGAAGACACCGTTGAAGAATCTAAAAGCACGTTTTTAACAATCCAGTCAGCCAACCGTTGGGTGGCGTCGTACATTGAGTCACGGGGGTCGTTTGACATTACTAAACCATGGTGGTGTTGATAAAAAAGGTATTTTGGGTAGGGGCACCCCATTACCAGTTCAGATATCATTCATCACTGATGCTCGCTGTGGTTGTGCATCGACATCAAGTCACTTGATTTTATAATGCAATGTACTGTCACCGCTCCAAATACAAAAATGTACCCTACTGGGAAGAATGTACAGTACTTCCATTCAAGACGAACACGTTTACTTGTGTATAGAAAATAATTTAAGATGTCCAAGCATCCTAAATACATCTGAAATGTTTCATTTCAAGGAGGTGCATATTCAATTTAATACTGCAAAACAAACCCTTTATTTTACTGAGCATTTAGGAAAAACATAACTGGAATGCAACTGTCATTACATTCGAGTTTTATCCATTAAAGTTTAAACTGGGTCACACAAGCTGTAGCTGTCTGGATCTCATCCCCATGTGGCCTCTCCTACAGATTACTGCCACAGCCCCAAGCAGTGTGGCTACAACACACCAGCAGATGGCAATTAAAGCGTTAAATAATTAATTTCGTAACACTAAACCACCTCCATAAAATAATAAAACACACGTGACCACAAAGAGGAAAAAAAACTGGGTCGTGTGAAAATCGTCAGGTGGGTTAACATAATCAGAATATTTACTTAAACGGGAGGAATCCAATGAGCTATAAAACTCTCACATATTTTCAGTAGGGACATGGAGTCAGAAGCTAACGAGAGAAGCGTCCAAAGGCTGATTTGCCTCCCTAATTGGATTGAGGGCTGTGGTCGATATGCTGCCCAATTCCAAGGGCGCATTAAGCCGGCGATGAATCGCGCAATGGATAGACAACGCACGCGCCGTTCCGCACTCACAGTATCGACAGCGCCCATCGACCGACCGCACAACTCGCAAACGTCCCCGAAATAAAACGCGCACCAGTGAAACGACCAGTTGGTATGTGACCTCTTTATTTATTTTCAAGAACAAGAACACTGTACAGGACTCTTGTAGCAGAAAAATAGGGCCTCACAAATATGAGTGGTACAAAGAAAGGTGGGACTCCGAACCCCATGAGCTTGATAGAAAAAGTAGGACACACACCAAATTTTTTTTCTTTTGCTTGAAGGAGCACCGGCCACTGGCCGACAGAGGGACGAGCCTCCGGCTCTAGTACTCCTCTCCCTCCTCCTCGCCCTCTCCCTCCACAGAGTCGACGCCCACCTCCTCGTAATCCTTCTCCAGCGCCGCCAGATCCTCGCGAGCCTCCGAGAACTCCCCCTCCTCCATGCCCTCTCCCACGTACCAGTGCACGAAGGCGCGCTTGGCGTACATGAGGTCGAACTTGTGGTCCAGGCGAGCCCAGGCCTCGGCGATGGCCGTGGTGTTGCTGAGCATGCAGACGGCGCGCTGCACCTTTGCCAGGTCTCCCCCGGGCACCACGGTAGGCGGCTGGTAGTTGATGCCCACCTTGAAGCCCGTAGGGCACCAGTCGACAAACTGGATGGTGCGCTTGGTCTTGATGGTGGCGATGGCGGCGTTGACGTCCTTGGGCACGACGTCGCCGCGGTACAGCATGCAGCACGCCATGTACTTGCCGTGGCGGGGGTCGCACTTCACCATCTGGTTGGCCGGCTCGAAGCAGGCGTTGGTGATCTCGGCGACGGACAGCTGCTCGTGGTAGGCCTTCTCGGCCGAGATGACGGGTGCGTAGGTCGCCAGTGGGAAATGGATGCGCGGGTAGGGCACCAGGTTGGTCTGGAACTCGGTGAGGTCGACGTTGAGGGCACCGTCGAAGCGCAGCGAGGCGGTGATGGACGAGACGATCTGGCCGATGAGGCGGTTGAGGTTGGTGTAGGTGGGGCGCTCGATGTCCAGGTTGCGGCGGCAGATGTCGTAGATAGCCTCGTTGTCGACCATGAAGGCGCAGTCCGAGTGCTCCAGGGTGGTGTGGGTGGTGAGGATGGAGTTGTAGGGCTCCACCACGGCGGTGGACACCTGCGGCGCCGGGTAGATGGCGAACTCCAGCTTGGACTTCTTGCCGTAGTCGACCGAGAGGCGCTCCATGAGCAGCGAGGTGAAGCCTGAGCCCGTGCCACCGCCAAAGCTGTGGAAGATCAGGAAGCCCTGCAGCCCCGTGCACTGATCCGCCTGGGTCACAGACAGAGAGGAAGATCACATTAAAACCAGAAGGCTGCAATCAATCTTCAAACATTAATTTATACGGTTCTTCATGACAAGGGATATGATTTTGATTTAAAGCTTTCGTGACTGCAGGGATTCATATTCTTGGTTCTTTCGGTAAAGTCACGTAGAAGGGAAACAATAAAATAATAAATAAAAAGTAAAATCGCGTAGAAGGGAAACAATAAAATAATAAACAAAAAGTTTTTATTTTATTGCTTCCCTTCTACGTGACTTTACCGAAAGAACCAAGAATAAGGGATATGATTATCAATGCATTTAACTTCCTTCGTAAGACATACATCATTTGGACCTTTGCTACATTTATTGACGGACTTGTCATCATGCTTCGGCGGTGCCTGTTGCAGTCTAACCACTCTCACTCACCTTGTCCAAACCTGCACTGTTGCTCACTCTCTGCTAATGGCTTGACATCTTTCGCTTTGCAATGGGATGGACGGTGGTTTCGAACCGCTAGTTCTCTCCAATAAACATTTCAGGCCCACTCTGCATGTTAAGCCATGTCCTCTTAAAACATAAACTAGTGCTTTAGAGGGGACCTTTGTTGTTGCCGAATTTTGGTGAATTGCTCATCCTTGTACTTGCATTTGCCGTGTATGTTGAACTTCTTTTGCACCGTACGTAGCCAACCGTGCTAAACGGAGGTGCGGGAATCTCCGGTTACAAGCATGACGATGGCCAAAACCGATGAGGACAATGATAGTGCTGATGGCTACGCTTCTAAAAGAGGTGGAGTACTCTGTGGATGGGCTCTCTCACCAGCTTGCGGATGCGGTCCAGCACCAGGTCGACGATCTCCTTGCCAATGGTGTAGTGGCCACGAGCGTAGTTGTTGGCGGCATCCTCCTTGCCCGTGATCAGCTGCTCAGGGTGGAAGAGCTGGCGGTACGTTCCCGTGCGCACCTCGTCTGCACACGCAGGCCACGCCGTTCGATTAACACCTCACACGTAATAATTTTACTTGCAGTCCGTAGTCACGTGCGATCGGCAAAAACGCCAACGGGAAATAAACTGTTGTGGCTGATAGCGCTTCGTAATGTAATGTATTATATAGCCATTTGTAAATCCACTTCTGTATAGTGAACGTTGGTGAATTGGGAGTCCCAGGACCAGTTTATATATAATTTGCAACTTATGTAATCTATGGCCAGGAATCAAACTCAGATCACCCAGTTCATTGCTCTGACAGCACTTAATGTTACAATGTTTTATTTTTTGTTAACAGACCTTGGTCTGTATTACAATGCACCATGGCTGTGCATATATTATACATGCTCTATTGTGCTCAATGAGCTACATGTGTTGTGGCATCTCTTGCTTCCTACACAAAGCAACCCAGTAGTATTTCTGTAATGGGCCACACCCTCTATGAGGAAATGTCTATGAATACTGCCCAATTAAACAAATGCTAGAAAACAATGGTTCAGTAAGCCTATCACCGGTGAAAAGACAAATGTTTTTTAAATACATTTTTGGAGCCTTTCAATATTTTTTGGCTGACTACATGGTGCCACTTTCAAGTGAAAGGAGCACCAAATGTCCAAGTACATTCACATTCAGCTTCATTATTTTCCAAATTAAGATTTCTCATTTAGGCTCAGTCCAACATTCCTCTGGGTTTGATAAAATGAGCAGATCAAAAGTCTATAGTATCTGTCCGATGGAAAGACTAACCCTGGTTAGGGGAATGTGGAGGATGAGCAATGTCCCACATTAATTCAAAACATATAACGGAGCAAAAGTCAAAATGGCCTTGACGAATTGTCTCAGTGACCGAGACATCTAAACATTCACCAAAAAAATGGGGTTGGCATGGTTACTGGACATCTGTGAAAAAGATCTTAATGGCTCATCAGATTCCTCCAGTATAAATACTCTGAATCTGGTTCGCATGGGCCACTCTCTGGTTTCACACCGGAGGCCCTCACGCACCCACTACGGTGGGCTCCAGGTCCACGAACACGGCGCGGGGCACGTGTTTGCCCGCGCCGGTCTCGCTGAAGAAGGTGTTGAAGGAGTCGTCGCCCCCTCCGATGGTCTTGTCACTCGGCATCTGCCCATCGGGCTGGATGCCGTGCTCCAGGCAGTAGAGCTCCCAGCATGCATTGCCGATCTGCACGCCAGCCTGCCCCACGTGGATGGAGATGCACTCACGCTGTGCGGGGAGCAGAGGGGACACAGAAGGAAACAGACATTGACATGGGGTCAGTAACAGCAGAAATATTGAGTGCTGACACGGGGAGAGGTGGTGCAGTGGTTTATGTATTCTGCTACGATATCTGCAACTTGTATTTTATTCACCACCATGCCCGTCGGTAGCATGTGGTGTTTTTGTGGGCAGCGGCGGTGCAGCGATTGTCAAACATGACAAACTGCATTCGATTACTATATGTGGCCATCTGTGGTAAGTGGCTTCTTAATGCCCCCGGGCATTCCTATATGGGATGCTGTGTGTAAATACCAACAATATAGTAGAGCAGTTGCCTCTATTTAACCAGAAAATGAAATATAGGCAAGTTAAGATATGATATACAGCAATGCATTTTTTGCAAAGGCAGTCTGGGTTACATCAAGCCATTTTGAAAACACCAGAATATACTATGTCTCACAATGGAGAGACCAGGCAGCCACACGTGTGGTTCTATGCTCCACCATCCCCATCGTGTGCCGTGCCAGCCTCCATTATTGTTGGCTCACAGCACTCGTTTGTAACAGGGGATCTTTGTCTTTAGGGAGTAGTGGTATGGCTCTGCAGCCCGCATGACTCCAGTCTGATTAATAGTAGGCTGCACATTCTTTAGCGATTACTGTATTTTCTTAGAGCTGGTGGGGTTTTTCTTTCTATATGTGGCCGAATAGTCCTTTAATTATTTTCAAAGGCAGATTTTTCATGATGGTAGTTCGGGGTGGGGGGCGTACGCCCTGGAAAGAAAACAAGATGGGGTGTGGAGAATGATGTATTATTGGGCTTGAGATAAAGGATGTCACGCTCTGGGATGGGCTACAGAGGGAGGGGCAGCAAAGAGATGGAGGGGGGTGGGCGGAGGCTTCATGGGCAATGGTGACGGGGACCACCTCAAAGCGAAAAACGCGGTTCGTGCTGACTGACGGCATCGCGTAGCTGTAACAGCAGCAGCAGCTACGGTAGCTGCTGTTGTTGTTACAACGGACGTTGACGGGAAAACAGGCACGGCCATTGTACAGTGCCAGTGTAGCTGGGAAAGAATGACATCAGGACGTCTTATTTCGGCTACTCAAGCCAAGCGCTCTCGCAATGTAATTTTCTTTGTTTTAATTCTATGGGCGCAGTGCGGTGCTTGTAATCCCATGTAACGCGCACATCCGTGCGTGGAACACCAGCCTCGGTGTATTTTTTTTTTAAACGCATTTATTTATATACAATACACACAATAATCCAACACAATACTCACGCGAATGTAAATTTCATAATTGCACAATAAAAAAGTCAAAAAAATTACGAAGCTGAACCTGCCACGACGTTTAATATGTTCAATATTCACGATCAACCATGGTCAATCCACTGCTGGATTAATACATTGCACGTTAATTTCAACAATGGTGATGACAGCTGAGAAATAAATCACAGTGCAACAAATGCAAAAAAAAATCTAACGGTGCAAGCTTTGGCGAACGTTCCTCAACGCCGCAATGCGTGACCGTTATTTATTTATTTAGCATAGAAAAAACAACATGGCCAATCGCATCCCCTGGAAAATTCTGGATATGCGCGGTGCCTTCTTTTCCAGAGAATATCGTTATTTTCAATTTATCCTGCAATTCAACGAAACAGGCGCACCGTGTATATATAGACATAGGCTTGCGACCGTGCATATATCGTTAAATAACATGAATTGTGATATACTTTACCATGTCGTTGTTTTAGCTGAACGAAGGAGGCGACTGGGTGAGGAGGATCTCGCTCGTCTCAGCCTTTATGCAGCTGCCGTGAGCTCGAATGGCCGCCTGACCTCATCGCTCCGCCTTTTATACTCCGCGCCCACGGCGAGGCGGAGCCGTCCGTGGAGTGACAGCACGCGAAGGTGCGGGGAGGGGGGCGCGTGCTCCCATTGGCTGCGCCGCACCGCGTCCGTTTACCATTGCCGTGGCGGCAAAGTGAGGGACAGCGCCGATTGGCTCGTTTGAATCTTAACGCTTTTGTCCAGGTAACCCCCCCTCACCCCCTGGGCCCCCCCCCACAACCGCCGTGCTGCGCTGTTTGTAGCAACGGAAGCGAGGCGCGCGGCCTCGTAGTAGGGCCACGCCGCGTCCGTTGCCACGGTGACCGGATTTGCATGAGAAAGGTCGCCATGGTAACGGCGTTAAGCACAACACTTTTGCTCAAACATAACTCTCCAGATTTCAAGAGAGCAACGGTCAACGGTTGCGTGCGAGACGTGAAGCACGCACGAGAGAAAGCAAAGAAAGTCATCAACACAACCGAATAATAATGTCAAATAAAGTTAGGTTTGGCTGTTTTAACCATTAAAAAATATATATAACTACTAATTTGTTCACTGAAAATAAATGCTGGAACATTTTAAGAATATCTCAGAATAACGCCACTCCGTGTCGGTTTATGGGGATTCTTTGACCATACTTGACCACGTTGGTCGATGAGGGTTTAGTTGAGAGTGGCTCGCCCCCGTTTACATGTCACTCGGGCAGGAATCTCACTCCAGTTACCGGGTTCATCGTGCAGTGTGCCAAACGCTGCGCCATCACAACTCATCCAAGAATCAATGCCTTTTAACTTATTTTGTGCCTATTATATATTTTGTGCCTATTATACATTTGTTTTAATTTCAAGGCCATACACAGTGTCATTGATGAACGTGTTGAGTTGTTGTTTCGTGCGATTGTGCACCACTTCCAAATCAGAACCGTCACCATATCATTTGTTTGCATTCCATTCTGAAGGCAAATAGGAGGGTTTTAACGTCTCATCAGCACGGTTTTAGCCCGATTAGAGCATTGCCACCGGTATCGTTAAGCGAACGAACTGTTCTCAAACACCGTCTTGGTTATTTCGGTAAAGTCACGTAGAATGAGAATAAAACAATAAAACAAAATAAGACAATAAAATTCTCACGACGTTTCTACGTGACTTCACCGAAAGAACCAAGAAGATGAATCATTGCAGTCACGAAAGCTTTAAATCGAACTGTTCTCAAACATATTTCCAAAAATGCATTCCGTTTTGCAGCAATGCCGAGTGAAATATCTATCATAATAGAGGTCTGTGGGTTATATCGATTAAATATATAAATGTTGTGTCGTTTAAACCCGCCACCACCCGACACAGCCAACTAGTAAGGGTTGTCACATAAACAGAACGTGGCCAATTCGTCACTAGCACTAACCGGTGTGTTGGAGAGCCAAGCCACAACATTTACATACTGATTTGTCAGGCTGTCGCCTGATGAAGCTAGTTGTAATTACTGGCGAAACGTCGTACTCAGTTTGTAAATGTTGTGGCTTGGCTCTCCAACACACCGGTTAGTGCTAGTGACGAATTGGCACGTTCTGTTTACGTGACAACCCTTACTAGTTAGCTGTGTCGGGTGGTGGCGGATTTGAACGACACATTTATATATTTGCGCGATCTAACCCAAAAACCTCTATTATGGATGATATTGGTCGCGAAAGCCTTCGTGTTAAACTGATGTATCTATAGTTTGCTACTGACATGAATTTGTGTAAACACAATAGTTTCCAACACTAAAGCCTGTGTACCATTTGATCATTTAACGAGCGGTTTTTGTTTGGAAATCTTACTTTGTATGGTAACTACATCTGAAAAGAGTGACTGAATCAATTAATTGAAGGGAAACCCGAACTGGAATACGACACGCGAGGTGGATGGGGTGGTAGCACCCTTTGTCTCGACAGTGTATGGTGTTCATTTTAGGCTGAGTCGACCTAGGGGAGTATCGGGCAGACTAGCATGAAGGGTACAGTGAAGAACCCTGACTAAACACACACATATATAGTGCAGACATACCATAAGCACACAATACAATGTACACAAATTAAAGACAAAGATCCCCCGTATAGGATATACAGACTGTTGGGGCAAGTGGTGTCAGCGAGCACCTGAGAATCGTTATCCTGAAGGAATCCGATGAGCTATGAAGCTCTTTTTGCACACATGTCCACCTGTTAAGGCTAGCACGGGCACGCGATGGGGTGGGTGGTGGCCAGCACCACCCACCCCATCACCTTCGTCCCACAAGTGGTGATGTTTAAGGCTGAGTCGACCTGGGGTTGGCTCAAATATTCACCACTGCTTTTGATCCTGAGTGGGAATCGAGCTTGGGTTGCCGGGCTCGTAGCGAATTTCACTAACCACCGCTCCCCACAGATTAAACACGCATACTAAAAATACATACCAACTACACAGACCTACATAACACACACATACTAAAAATACATACCAACTACACAGACCTACATAACACACACACAACACGCACATACTAAAAATACATACCAACTACACAGACCTACATAACACAAACACAACACGCACATACTAAAAATACATACCAACTACACAGACATACATAACACACACACAACACGCACATACTAAAAATACATACCAACTACACAGACCTACATAACACACACACACATACTAAAAATACATACCAATTACATAACACACACAACACGTACATGCTGAACGCGTATAGAAAACACACGGACACGTTAATGATGCCGACATAATGAACACGCACAGTCAACACGTATCCACACTAAACACACACACACACTGAGAGAGCCATTCTGGAATGTTGCCCGTTGCTCAGTAGCCAATGCTACAACAAGCGAGGTGGAATGGCGCCTAGCAACGTGGAGTTGAGAGCTGAGTAGCCACGCCGTCAATCCGACCCCTCTCACACACAGCGGTAGCAGCAGCAGCCGCGAGGCAGTGGGCGACACGAGGGGGAAGGGACGTGGCAGGTGGACGAAGAGCACTTGTCTTAGTGTCGACCTCGGCAGGCAAGTTCCACTCTGGAGCAAACGCATCGTCATCACCTGAACACAGCCCTGACGTTACCCGAACCGCTGGTGAGAAAGTCCGCGTACAACAGCAGGCAGGTTCATTCGAGGAGTTTATGTTCGTGTGTCACCAAGTGAGAACTCAAGAGGGCAGGATGACTCTCGTTTGTGACAGTCACCTGGGTCACCAACAAGACAAAAGCCATACGATGACGTATAGTGAATCGGAGTGAGTTGATCTCACTCATTCACTACAGCAGTCACTCGCTCACCAGCGGTCGGGCACCTCCTTATCACTCTTCTATCGCTACTATACGGGTGACCCTTCCCACGAACGCCACTCCGTTTCCTCCACCCCTGTCGAGGGCTACCGGACTGAGTCGTCGTCGCATCCACACGGTTGTTCAACCACACCAACACTGCGGGCCACTTTTGCTTTCTTCGCATCCTCAAGTTTGGAATTCCCCTCCTCTCATCTCTTTTCCCAAGTGATGTAATATTCTTTGGGTCTTTCGATATAATCTTGATCAGTTCCAGAAACCTGTTCACTCATATTTTACGTTTAATAGTTGTGTATCTTGCCGTGGAGTGAGTGTCTGGTGAGTGTGTACCAAGTGGTGAGGTGTCTGGGGAGTTTTGAGAGTGGCCAAGAAGAGAGAGGAAGACCACATGGCAAGAGAAACCAGTTAGGGGAGAAGAGTTGAGAAAAAAGGGACTGATCCTATGGGGCAGATAACCTCGTCTGTAGGACGGACTGCCCTGAAGTATATTATACTTCTAATAGTTCGATTTCTACCTGGCAGATTGCGGTTTTGGTGCTGTGGGTCTGTGCTCAGTAAGCAGTGATTTTATAAATAACACGGCTGAATTGCTTATACTATTCACGGGTCATGTGTACCGCACTGTGCACCAGATGTATCATCATGTTTTTCACATATTAGGAAACATTTTCAAATACTAGTCATTATAAATAATATCTTTCACTCGAGACCTTTAAATTACTTCACGATGCAAATATATTCAAGGAGGCATTTTCCAAACATCTCCACCCAGGTCCATGTTAAAAAAAAAACACTTAACGCACTCGTCAATAATACTGTGGCATGGAAAATATAGAATAGGCGACGTTTCGGGCAACGGTCCTTGTACACGGCACATAGTGAAATCTAGTCTTTGAGACTCAATGACGCTTTCCTGAACATATATAACGGATACAGGCATTCACTCGTATTCGTGTATTGCACTCACTATGAGATCGCAGTATCACGGGTGGTGGCGACAAACTCATCCAGCGGTGGATTGATCATGGCTGATGATTTTCAAGTAATCTAAAACAAGTGGTATTTCTCTTTTCTATACAGCTACATCACTTTCGATATGTGCACGACTACGAAAGTAATTTAGAATCTCACACTGGGTCGTATGAATAATGTATAAGAATGCACGTGCGCCCGTGCCCATTTAATAAACGCAACCATTAAATATGCACGCCATGTACACGTGCAGGCATAGCATGTCAGCCGATGGCATCTTCTACGTTATGCCTAGTTTAAATAGTTTAGTTGTATAGCTTAGCTTTTTAGTTAATAGTTTACATATGTAGAGTACATTTTTTTTATGTGAACGCGGCTGGCTGCAGAGCGTAATGCACAAAATAAACATTCAGACGTCCAACAAGTGATTTCCAAATGCAATCTGTGTGGGTGGTGCTTATTTTCAATTTACAACCGGAACCATTTGTGGAAATTCAACGTTCCTATGGCGGACACGAGTCTGTCCATGGAACAACCACTGTGGACTTGCCCATAAAGTGGTAGTCGCCGTTTATTGCAGAGGCTCGTGGTTAGACTCCGACAGGGCGCCCCAGTTATAACTGCAGGTGCATTCACCACACATAGGCGCCGTCTGCTTTACAGTGGACGTTAAATCTACTAGAGTCCGGATCACATGCAGCAGCAGCGGCAGCAGCA